ACTTGATATGAATGTTTTACTCTAATTAATGTGGGACTAACTAACATGTACAGTGTGTATATATGTATATACATTAACACTTTTTTTCTTTCTTTCTTTTTTTTTTTTCCAACTCATACCCAAATAAAAATTGGCTAGCCTGTATCCCACATTATATATTTTTTATTCAAAAAGAAAAATTGATAAAATCTTTAAACAACTAGTTGTGTAATATATATTAAATTTATGAATCATATGAATCGACGATTAGATTTGAGTCATGAGATTTTTGTTACAAAAGTTTTTAAAAATTATTAGATTGTATAAATCGATTATTAACCCGAGTCATGGGTAGGTTTTCATACCAAGCATAGCTCAATACAAGTTAAAAATGGAAGTCTCAAGCACAAGATACATAAGGGTGTAAATTTGGCTCGTCGACTTGGACAGCCCGTGATTTGGCTCGGCTCGTGGCTCGAAAGAACCGAGCGTCATTTTGGGGCGTCGGCTCGAGCCAAGTTAGCCCGTGTGGCTCATCCAGCCTGTGTCACGAGTCATTTTCAACTCGTAACAANACCAACTCCTTTTTCATCTTCAAAACACAAATTAAAAAAAAAAAAAAAAAGGTGGGAATGGTACTAGTGCATTGTGCATGCAGCTAAGTGGTTGCCTGTTAAAACAGCAGTCTGTAGCTGAGGCAGCAAACTGCTACTTGTTACGACAGCAGTAGCTGCTTTGACCTGTATAAAAGTTCGAATAATTTTTATTCGAGTTAAGCTCAAACTTCAAGTTTCGGCTCGTGAGTCAGATGAATTCGACTCATTGACATGCCTGCATCACGGAACATTTTACAAGTAAATTTTCTCATTCTGTATTTTTTTTTTTTCTCAAAGCAGATAAAAGAAATGAAGATGAAAAAGAAGGGAAGGCCCCACAAAAATTTTGGCGTCAGTGCGTCCACAGGATCTACAAAATCGAAGAAATCCTATCTTTTTCTATCAGTCTCCATTTTCTTACTAGTGTAGAAATGTCTTCAATATGCTCACTGTCCCTCCGAGTGATGGTCCATCAATGGAGGCACAATCACAGGAGCCATCGCTATTGGATATTACCAGATTTCAAGAGGAACCTCAGCTTCATTCCCTCTCCTGTCTCCTCCTCATTCAACCAGGATGATGATTCTGTGCCTTCCAAACCACACCAGGTAATTTCTTCTTTCACACACACTGAAGGAGGATAGACATATGTGGGGGTGGGACGAGGGGCACATTAGGTTGAGGATATTGGCGCCACACGAAAGTCTTGGACCCTGGTGGAATTGACCTTTGAGAAAAATAAATAAATTGAGAAACTTTTTTTCGAGTTTTCTAAATATTTACTAGTATTCACCAATGACTGATTTTATATCTCTCTTTAATTTGTAGTTAATATCATTGTTTGATTGGTGGTTTGCAGTTGGGATATGATCCATCTGAGGAGATATTTGGATTTTCTGCTGATTTACAACCAAGGTCTTGGCAAATTCTTGGTTTGCTTTTTTTTTTTTTTTAATTTAGTTATTGTTAATTCTTGATTTTGGTTGTGTTTATATGCATATTCTTCCATATGATCTTGATGTGGGTTTGTGTTATATTGAAAGTGCTGTTTTCATCACGCGTGTGAATGTGAGAAACCAACTTATGATTTATTCTACTGGGGCTTTGGCGAATTCGATTGAATAAATATGCCTTAATAATGTTTCCATTGACATTCCCCAAAATCATCTTTCTTAGTTCCGTGAAAACAAGTCGTACCAACGAAGACGTGCCTCCAAACCAAGATCATGGTTTGGTCCAAATGGTCAGTACATTCGAGAATTACCTTGCCCTAGTTGCAGGGGAAGAGGTTATACTCCATGTACTGAGTGTGGAATAGAAAGATCTCGACCAGATTGTTCACTATGTAACGGAAAGGTAAAAGTTCTTTCTCTCTTGTTTTAGCTTACAAAAAGTAACTAAAAGCAATTTTTTTTCTGTCAATCATTTGTAGGGATCATAATTTTCCAGTCTAAATGTTAACAATGTTAATTTTCTACATTTATTAATTGTAACAGGGTATAGTTACCTGCCATAAGTGCCTGGGAGATTGTGTTATCTGGCAAGAGTCGATTGATGAACAACCATGGGAGAAAGCTCGCTCAATGTAATTATATCACATCATGATTCAACTAGCAAGTTAGCTGCCCGTTTACCAGTGTCATTCTAAATTTTTCCTCTTTCTCATCTTCCATTGTTTGCGGTATTAAACAATCCATGCACATGGCCTTAAATGTAGAAGAAGAATACAGCATTACAAGTATAAAACTTGTACCTTTTTATTGGTCGTTCTTATGTTCAGATCAGATAATTAGGAGCATAAACGATTGAGTCTCTCCTTATTTCTTACATCTAAATTTCCTATTACCATGAATCTTGTGGAGAAACGTTTTGTCCATATCCAAGTTGACTAGTTGTCTGCAATTCTGCATAGCATCATTTATCAGAAACTCCACTTGTGATTATAGTTTTTTCATTTTTCTTATCCTAATTTTCTTTGTATCTGGAAATCTGCAGTATTTAGAATTTCTTGATGTAGCTTTTTGTTCCATAATGTGCACGGGTCATTATCTAAAGTTCCATGTGCTCTTTTCAACTTCAATCAGTTACTAATCGGTATAAATGTGCGTGAATCTCCAGTTCTCCTCTAAAAATGAAGGAAGATGATGAAGTGGACAACTTGGATATAAAGTTGGATGTGAAGAGAAAATCCAAGCGTGTTTATCAATCCTCTGCTCCTGAAGTTAATTTGAAGATCAGCAGATCATTAAAAGTTAGTCAAGCTTTCTCAATGAAAATCTTATGTGTTTGACACATTAATGCATCCACTACCTTTGTCTTCCTGTTTTTAAAAATGCTACCATTTTAAGTTCTCCTTTCGATTTTTATGTGATACAAAATTATGTTTGCAACTAATGTGCCAATTCTTGAAATACATAAACATTGTATGGTTACCAGGGACCAGGGTGACATTCTAGTGCAAGAAAAATGACTGTAAATGGTGGTGGTGATGGTGTGGTTTTTCTATCTGCAGTCTGTTATTTCTTTTACAGTAATGTTGCATATGGTTCTAGTATTTCAAGGGAGGTTGTTCTTTTTGATCAATTAACGAGATCACGAATTTAATCTTCTTTGTTTAGTTGGTTGGTTGCAGAGCCTCAATGCCAAAACTGGGATATTTAGTAAGAGGATGAAGATAATCCATGGCGATCCTCTGCTTCATGCACAAAGAGTGGCTGCCATCAAGGTCAGAACATGCGAAGAAATATTTTAGCTCTGAATGAAGGGTTTTCAAATTATGTTATCAAGAATTGGCCTTGGTAGTGTACCAGTGACAGTCATATTTGGTCTCCGTGTACCCCTAACTAAGTGCCATAAAAAATTATGCTTCTATTATTTTTTTCTCTTTCGAAATATCTTTTTCCCAAGAACCAATATGTGGAGATTGAAAGTAATTGCATGCTGCTAATTAATGGAGTTATAGTTGAGCTTAGTACACGAAGAGCTTCAAAGCTTGCTTTTCACTGAATTAGCACGAATGAAATGTCAAATGTAAAATCATGCCGAAATTATTAGTGTTCCTACATCTCTATTTGAAATGTTTTTAACTTGTACAGAAAGCTAAAGGCACTGCTGCTGCAAGGAAGCGTGCTTCTGATGCTATGAAAGATTACTTCCGTGATCCAGAAAATCGCCGCAAGAGAAGCATTTCAATGAAAGGTCTTGTTTAGTTTTCTTCACCCTAGACTCTAAAGTGTATTTCGTTCATGTCCAGCTCTTCTGAAATGCTTCTCGTGTGACCTATGACGACTGCTATCAAACTGTCATTTCCTGAGATTTCATTGTACTCCCTATTTTTTTGCAGGGGTGAAATTTTACTGCAGAAATTGTGGACGAGAGGGGCACAGGAGAAATTATTGCCCAGAAGTTCACGACAAGTTAATAGATAAACGATTCAGATGCCGATTATGTGGGAGAAAAGGGCATAACAGAAGAACCTGTCCAAGATCACAATCAAATGACCAGAAGAACTCGGTGCCAAGAAACCACCAATGCAAAATTTGTGGTCAATCTGGACACAATAGCAGGACATGTCCACAACTAACTTCCCAAACTGATGTAGAATCAAATGCTGCTGCTGCAAAGAAAGTTCCCATTGTTTCTCGAAGAAGGACTTGCACTTGCCACCTCTGCCATGAGACAGGGCACAATATAAGGACTTGTCCTCGGAGAAATTGACTACTCGGGAACGTCATTGCTCACCGAGTCACTGTGGCCTTTCTTTAATATTTTATTTTGCTTGTGCATGCTATGAACGTCATTGCTCACCGAGTCACTGTGGCCTTTCTTTAATATTTTATTTTGCTTGTGCATGCTATAAGCAATTGTATTTTCCTGAGTTTTTTGACCACCCTTGTGGCATGATTGAATAGTCATCCTGACAGTATTAAAGAAGAAAGGGAGTTAAATTTGTGTTTGTTATATTGTAATAATGTGTACCGAGCTTAAAACATGCCTTTAATGTACTTAGCTTTATGTTTCAACTAGATTCTTTACTTCAACAATGCAAGCCCAGGTCAATGGTAGAAGCTGAACTGCAGAGCAATTGATTTTTTTTTTCTTTTTAATTTTCTTAAACCAAACCACTGCAAGGATGACAAATTGTTGCTTCAAGTATAACACAAGAGGGGGAACTGTAGCAGGTTTGCCTAAGCTCAAAAAGTTTTTAAGTTATAAAATAAATATCTCAGTTAACCAATAAATAATGTGAAGGGCATTTCTTGCATTCAGACGTGTATTCAAATTTTGTTAGCATTCATTTATGAAAGATTGTCCATGACATGCATTCGATGTAAAAGAATTTAGAATGCTCTTGGGATCGTATTGAAGACAATTTGTGACTCCTCTCTTACAATTTAAGATTTAAGATGAAATGGTTAACATGATGATTATATTCTGAGAAAGTACAAGTCCCATTCAAGGCTATCTAATATGACAATGATATGCGTTTATTATTAGCTGAAATATAATTCTAGCATTACACATTTGTGTTCTCGCTTATTTTACTGAGTGCAAATTGAGAAAAAGTACCAATGGTTCATACTTATTTGACTTGTATTTTTGGTTGACCAATAAAAGTATGATTTACCCTTACCATGTTTTTAAATTACTACACACTCCCAACTTTCATATTGAAAAATCATTAAACAACATAGAGGGCATTTTGGTTATTCATCATAATGATTTTGCTTATAAGTTTATTACCAAACATTATTGTGCTTAATATACTTATAAAACAACTTATCCGTACATGCATGTTTCTTTACTACTTACAAGAAGCTTATCTTTTTCTGGGCCACCCCAAGCATGAAGTGACTGCTGTAGCACATGTATTTTCTTCATGAGAATTGTGAAAAGACATCAAGTTTCTATGAAATCTCAATTTCTTCAACTAATTTGTTACACTTTTACTTTGTGGCTAAATTGATTACATAACTTCAGTTTGATAGGAAAATAGCATTCTTACAACAAAAATGTATCTAATTAACACTAAATCTGTGTTATTACATATAAATATGTAAACACAGAGTTTCAAGAAACTAGAAGTAGAAAATCCAATAGCAGATACAATGAACTACTTGTTCTTATTGAGTGTAAGACGTGCAGATTTAGTGAAATTAATGATAACAAACTGGCATTTTTCTTTCAATAATATTATATATATTGTGGTCCAAGAATTATACATTGGTTTAGTATATAAATCAATAGTTTATAAGAGGGATATGAAACCAAACCCTCAGATCTTCTAACATGTACTGATTTATTCTCCTGCCTCAAACATCAATTTCTCATTATATCATAATTTCTGTGTCCAAATTCTGCTATGGGCCACTTATTAGAAGCAGAATGCTTGATCATAATAGAAACGGGGACTTTGAATAAATGCAGCACCACCTACATGTTCAGTATCGTTTTGAGTTTATTGAAGAAACCTGTAATAGGCATAAACTTTACGGGGCTGGAATGCAGATAAAGCTGCTTTGATTTCTGTTATGCTTCCCA